ATAAATGCTGAAGAAACACTCACCAGTTATATCGTGCCAACGGCGGTAGTCTGCCTTGCTAGTAAAAACTTCTACATAGCATTCCAAAAAATATCAATAAGCTTTATACCATTGCAACAAATACTATACTAATATGCATTTAAACTTGCAAAGATAAAAACCAACTTCTGTTATTTTTTTTTGTGTCACTAGTTATAATTAATTTTGATATATCTTATTTTTTATGTCACACATACAAAAAATATCGCATGATATTTAACTGGAATTCATTTTCTCGCAACACCCTGTGTCCCATCGAATCAGCTGTACGCTATCAGCTGCTTCCAACTAACCATAGGCAATCAAGCTAAAATCAACGCAAGCAACAAAAAGCATTTTTAATTTGGCAAAAACATGCAATTAGCGATAAAGCTTTACGTGTGCATAAGGAAGGATATTTTTTCAAGAAATAAGTTAAAAAGTAGGCGAATGCAATTTTTGAACAACAGTCGGTAACTGGCATCCAGGCAAGCAAGACTCATCAGCCCTTTCTGCGGCTAACGCACTTGACGGATTTTACACAAACATATATTTAATATTGTTGTGCACCGGAAAAGCAACTAGTGGCGCTTGTGCATAGAACGAAATGTCTGTGTACGCGTGGGTAAACGAATAATTTGCATATCAAACTAATTAGCATTTAATAATTATTATTTTAACTACTACCTTAACAGGGTGCCAATTCGCACGGACAGCTTAGCCTTGGCTTTGAATCGGAGCTATGCATGTCACCACAACTTGTTCGTGAGTACACGTTTAATCCGAATAGTGTCCGCCGCATATGCGGAGGTGGTGGACATGTACTTGTGCTCGATACAAATGGGCGCGTCCACGCATGTGGCTGGAACGGTCGCGGCCAGTTGGGGTTAAACTCAAGCGAAGAGTGCTTTAATACATTTCAAACTATACCCGGCGAATATTTTGGGGTACTTGAAAAATATTTTACTTTTTTATTATTGGATATTTATTTTATTATTTTGTATTCTATGCAGGATGTGCCTGTCGAGAGCATCTCATGTGGTTGGGATATATCAGGCTGCATAACAGTAACAAAAAAATTATATGTTTGGGGTTCGAATTCTTTTCAACAGTTAGGTCTGTGTCAACGCGAATTCAATGCGGTAAGGCGTCCACTATGTGTCATACTACCACGCAACGATACACCTGCACGTATAAGTTTCGGACTACGTCACTGTGCCATACTTTCAGCAGACCATAAGGTTTATGTTTTCGGTCGGCTACGTATAAGTGATGAACCACCTTCAGACTTGTGTATAACATCGACAACACTTAATTGTGCGCCTGTTATAAAAATTCAAGCCACCGAACCTAGTGAACTACGTATTATCGGCGTTGCAAGTGGACAAAATCACATTTTACTTAAAGTTATAGACTTGCAATATGGTAACGGTTCCAAGCGTGTTATTGCTTTGGGTGACAATAAATTTGGACAAGCAAACTCATTCCAATTTGATGAAGAAATTAAACAAATCGCTACCGGTTGGACGCACAATGCAGTAACATTAAAAGATAATAGAATACTCACCTGGGGACGTAATTGCTATGGACAATTGGGGATTGGCAGTGTAACGCAAAATCAAGCAACGCCACAAGAATTGGATATGCCCAGTTCAATTATAGAGTCGCGTTTACACTTAGGCTCTGAACATGGTCTCTTACGTAGCACGAGTGGTGAAGTGTACACATGGGGTTGGAATGAACATGGTAACTGCGGTAATGATGGCACGGAAAATCTGTAAGTAGATGCTAACAAAGCAGCTATTCTAACATACAATATTAACAGCATCACTTCTATAGGTGCTCACCTACGCGAATTCAACTCCCCGGACCTTGCAAAGTTGCTGGCACTGGCGCAGGATTTTGTTATGCAATATGTGAAGTGGCTACCGAAAGAAGCACTTAAAACTATTACACCCTTTTTGCGTTTGTATGCACCTGAAATACAAAATGTGTCCCTTTTCGTAAATTTTTTGTGATAAAATAAAATATAATAATTAAAACTAAAATTATCGCGCTGCTTTGTATACGTCGTAATGTAAATATATACGTAATGATAGCGCCAAAATGTAGGCTATGAGAAGAAGTAAAAAAACTCCTAACACTGTGTCCGCTGCAAATTACTTCTGCAGTATGCCTTGACGGGTGTAAAGAATTGCATTGCGATTAACCTCAAAAATTAAACTTGACCTAAGCAAATGGTTTAAGTTGGCTAAAATCGTAACAAGCTATTGAAAAAGAAAACAAAATTCTAAATTTTTATGAAATCAATTGAAGACAGATCTGAAAGCAACGCGGGCGAAAATTTATAGCAAACATTCTAAAAATATCGATTATAGAAAATTGTTGTCAAATATAGTGAAATTTGAATCCCAACGGGCAGCTGTGAAAAGAAAGCAACCGTTATACGCACGTTACTGTTGGTGCAATTCTTTTGTTATTTTATTTTTGGTTTGAGTGCTTCCAGTGCTTAAGCGCAATAAATAGATAAACAAAAGGTCAACAAAAGCATGGAAACACAGCAGACTCAACAAACAGAAAAGCTCATAGAGGACATGCTGGAATTTTTAGACTGTAATTAAGAACTTCCCTAAAAGCCATAAATGTGATTGAATTTTGTCGAATAATAATACATAACCAAAGAAAAACTGCCTGATTTCTTTGTCCAGCGATGTGAAAAAAATATAAAATTTTATAAATTCGTAACAATTTAATTTTTTCAGCAACGAGTGAGGACGAAGACGATAGCAACAATATGAAAAGCGAACAGGGTAATACTAAAGAATCTTATGAAAGCACCAATAAGGATTTCGTGCGTACGGAAGAGCATACAGGTAATTCTTTATCAAGGCAAAATAAAAAAGCGCGAAAATCAAAAAGTTCGATTGCCAAAGAATTGACAAAAATTAAAAACGAATTCCCCATTTGGAATACAAAGGAAATTGGTAATGCAAGATCGTATTTTAAACAACTAGATTCTTAACGTTTCATGCTATTACCCAATCACACAGCGCCCACCTCTAAAAAGCTAACTGATCCAATTTGGCATCAATCCTACATACCTGCTGGCAAATGTGAGGCCACGAATGTGGAAACCGATTGGAATTCAAAATTGGAATCTAATTGTCGCCGCAGCAGCAACACATATGTGCAAGAAGTAAATCGCGCAATTTATGGCGACACCACCGGCCACCCTCCCAACGATAGCACGGAATACTTTCAAGCTGCACAAAATTATGCCATCTATGGTAAGGATTTTCTCGACTTTCCGGAGAATCTTACTCCACTGCTTAGTGTGAAAGGTTCATCCACCCCACCAGAAACTGTGCCATTTGTTTCAAGCTATGGTAATGGCTTGTATCCCACACCACAAGCACCAGAGACAACAACCGGTATTGGTTTTGCTAATCTCAATGTAAGTAAGCGGTATATATTGTTTAATCGTTGCTTAAATTCAGTTGGTCCATTCATTTCAGAAGCAATCTTCGGTCGCATCCTCTGCCGCTACAGCTGCTTATTATCAGATGTGTAATGGCCTGCAGCCGGCTTCGGTACGTCCGGCCGCTGGTAGCACTGCGTATGGAATGTTTTTAGGCAACAAAGTTACCTATGTAGCGGCTGCCCCTGCAGCGCCGCCACTTGTCTACAATCAACATTCCTCTACAACTACCAATTTTATATCAAATAGTTTAGCCAATACCGCATTGGCTACTTCACCAACTATTCTTTATTCCAATCCGATGCTCACCACAACTACACAACAATATCTAAACACTTTTTTCAAAGAAACTCAATATCTAAGTGGTGCCACCACACAGGGTACAACTGTGGGTGCAACCACCGGAATTTATGAAAGACTTGTTTACGCACAAATGCTGCAGCAGCAAATCTATCATCAAACACAACAGCAAGCTGCGGCTGTAGCGGCAATGTTCCATAAAACACGTCCAACTCGTGCTACCAATGGTGGTGGAGGCGCAACAACTCCTTGTGAGTAACCAAATATAAACAATATCAGCTGTGACAAACTTTGCGGCATTGCCAATGCTATTTTTTTTGTCTTACTTACAATTATCAAAATCACTTGCACTGTGGAGCAGTTAATCATTGTTTCATTTCAGGTGCCCAAAACTCTGCCACACAAACAATGCCGTCGCCAAATAATATACCGGGACTTAATATATGTGGGCGTCAAGCGGCAATGGTTACCAACGCAAGTGATATGCTGGTAAAGTCAACACCAGTTCCCTCACCAATTGTCGCCAATGGCAATGAAGACAATGTGACCCCAATGAATGATTTATGAGATTTTCATTATTATTTTTAGATTTTTTATTGTTGCTAAGTTGTCTTTTCCTCTTCGTTGTTGTCATTTTTTTATAATTTTTATGAAATATCTGAATTCAAAAAAAAAAACATAGGTCACAATAAAAGCTTATTAAAATGTTCAAAATTATATGTGTTAATTATAAAAGAGGGGTCTGATGAATCCTTTTCCGCCCTTCCAATGACACAACTATCGATAGAGAAATTTACTATCTTGTAACAGATTCTCGTAGACGATTACTGTCGTAATTTTAGCCCAATTGGGCTCGTAATTTTGTTAAGACTGCCAGTGAAAGCATGTGCCGTGTTCGTCGATTCGATTTTGGTTGCTGACTAACGCATCGAGGCAACCTTTCGTCTTCGCTATAGGCAAATTGGACGAATTAAACCACGAACTGGTGCCCTAACTACGGTATTCTGCGAATTCGGTCCCGTAAGATTTCTTGTTGTTTTCAAAAAAAATCACTCGCGGATAATAAATTAGATAGAATAAGGAGGTTATCGCCACCACGTAGGTCTACTTTGAAGACATTCAAACTGGTCTAGGTCTAGACTTTTACAAAAATAGGTAATAACCAAAACTTCGAAGCTCGCTCAATTATGAAAACAGCAGAGGATAGTCATTACACACATTCATACACAACGCTTTATTTGCAAATTCTATGAAATTTGATATTTTACTTAGCTTTAGCAAAACCAACTTGGTTGTTACCCAAGTCGAAAACAGTGTAGTACTTTCCCAAAAAAACATCTCCCAAAATCCAAAAAGGTGTGCCAGCATCTTCAAAAGCAGACATACACAATTGCTCACCACTCTCAGCCTCAACCTCAATGACGTAGTCACTACCCTCTAAAGTAAAATTAGTGTCAGCAATGGTAAACGAAATCTTTGGTAAACTGGATACTTGAGCGCAATCAATAAAGTATTCTCCTTCGTCGTTAGGTTCAGCACCAATGAGATCCTGTAGATATCCATATAAATAAAAGGGAACGGCCACAAGGCTGGTACCGGTATCAGCAATACCTGGATCACCGAAAGAAAACTCGCTATCACCAACATATACCGTGCCAACGTTAAATTGCCAATACCCTTTGCTAGCGACAGGAACATAGATTATATCACCTTCATAATGATTACTATCAATGCCACCTAAAGTTAAGACACCACCCTGACTAGAAGTGCCATCACGTGTTAAATAAAAACTGAAAACGGGTTTTTTAACTAAACCTTGCTTGTACAAATTATAGAATGGTGGTATCACATTATCATTCGAGATCTCCACATAACCCAAACCGAGTATGCCATCGAATACGGCATCAACGAAAGTCGTTCCAGGTTCCGTTGTGGCTACGGCAAATATTTGACCGCTTATAGGTAAACCAGCAACGGATACGGTATCTTCAACTAAATAACCGGACAAACTGCCGGTACCGTATTGGATAGAAAACTCTGTGCCGTTCGGCTTATATGTACTCGATTTGCTTGCATCGTATGAGTTATGATTATAGCAAGCCGGATCGCCTGAGCATGGTCCTTTAGGCACCCACAAATTCGATGAACCGGTGTCGAAGAGTACTTGAAAGTTTTGCGTTGGTGTACCAATGGTGATAGCCCCATAATATGAATCGTCCAAATAATTGTGCAACTGCTCGTCCGTATAGCGTGGCAAGGAATTGTACTTTCTGCGTAACACCGCCAATTGTGCGCGGACATTCTTCAAGGAACGTTTTTGATTAGGTTTATTCAAAGGAATTTGCACGACAGTCGCTTGTGCGACCAACGCTAAACACGTCACCGTAACTAGAAACTTCAACATTTTGGATGAAGCGTAAAACTTAGCGCGACAATGGATAATCGTACTATGATCAGCATTTTATACTATCATAAAGTATTTATTCGTTATGAAGTTAGCGTTGCTTCCGTATGAGAAGCTTTATCGGTAATTGAAGTTGTAATTACCGATTAGTATTGAAAGTATTTCTGCTGCCCTATAGGAAAAACTCGAAAAATGAATATAAACTCCGATTCTAATAAGAACTCTGTCAAAGCAGGGAAGTTATTCGAAGGCTCGAAGTAGTGTGGTAACAAAATGTATTAATTTAAAAGCCAAATACATTTTAAAGCACAACTTAGAAAACAGGGCCACCCATACCTTACTTTACAAGTATATTATCGGAAGTACTGAGTTATACAAGTAGCTACATGTAGAAGCCTTCTATGCAGCGATTGCATATTTAGCTTCAGTCTAGAGAGAAAGTACTTATGTGATCATAATTAATGCATTTTTAAAAGCTGCATCTAGCCGGTGTTGTTTTGTTAGATAATAGGTATATGTACTAGGGTGGTAAAATTTGTAGATTATAAAAAAAGAAAATTTTTGGAAAAAAAAATTAAAATTTTTTTTTAACAACTAGTGATATGCCCACTCACTTTTAAAGTGAAGTTTCGAGTTAAAATTTTTATTTCGTAAAAAAAATTTGATAAGTGTTCTAGAAGCTGTGGAGAGTCCTCTTTCTGGCCAATTACAAGTTATCAACTTAAACAAATTTTTTGTGGCCATTATTGGAGTTTTAAAAAAAAGTCTTAAACGACAGCATGCTTTAATTAAGCGTTAAAAGCGTTGTCCAAAAAAAATTTTACCTCGAAATTTACTTTAAAAGTGAGTGGGCAGCCTTCAGATGTTAAAAAAAAAAATGTGTCCAAAAATTTTTTCCAAAAATTTTTTTTTTTTAGAATCTACAAATTTTGCCCTCAGGCTAAGCAAAAATATTTTTTTTTCGCTTCACCCTAAAGTGTATGTGTTTAAAACCAGCCTTCTTGAGATCTTTTCCTAAACAAATGGTCCTGATGTATGCTCAACAGGTGTGAGATAAGTCTCTCTTTAGTTATAGCAATTTTGTATGAGCAGTGGCTGGGCTACAAGTTCTCTTTGATGCCTACTATCTTAGTAGTCTAGGAGAACGAAATATTATCACCTTAGCGAAAGCCATAATGCTCTTTCTTCAGCCATTTTGGTCAATGCGTCTGCTGATTGATAATTTGAGATGAGCTTAAGACGTTTTGCCTGTCCTAGAATGTTAATTTCGATATGAATAAATATATAAGACTTTGTTTATCTAATTGAAATGCAAGCTAAGGCTTCGTTGAAAACGAAGTTATAATAGCGCCATATACATACATACATACTCGTATATATAAATGCATAGGCTTAACATATAACATTGACATTTATATTTACATTTACACAATTAAATAAAACGATGTCGCAATACATAATTGAGACTTTAATTGCTATACACCACTCTTGTTTTATAATATAGTATATATAATAGATATGTATATAACATATGTATATAAGTCACGTGCAACGTTCAATTATGCTTTAAAACCACAGTCTGCAGAAAGCAAATAGAACAGGTATTAGGATACCCAATAAGTTAGGGCTCAAATTTAAAGCACCGCCTCCTACTTGCTGTACATTGCTGGAATTACTAACAGCGGTTGCGAAACCGACTTGATTATTGCCCATATCGAAGATTGCATAGTATTTCATAATGAAGACATCGCCAAGAATCCACAGATTAACGCTGGCATCCTCGAAAGCCGACACACATAATATATTGCCATAATTTCCCTCCATTTCGTAAACATAATTACTGCTATCTAAAGTAAAGATGGTTCCAGCGATTTTGAACGAAACTACCGGCAGATTATTTGTTTGTGTACAATCGAACACATACAGACCATCTTCATTCAATATAGCACCAAGAGTATTCTGTACAGTTGTGTAAAGTGCGGTCGGTACAGCTAACAGACTTGTGCCAGAATCAGCAATCGCCGTACAACTGTAGCATATGGGTGTACTACCAACAATAATCGAATCCACATTGAATTGCCAATAGCCTTCTTGAGTAACTGGTGTATAAGTTATTTCACCAATATAATATGTAGAATCGTAGCCACCGAGCGTGAGCTCACCACCATTAGCAGATAGACCATTAGCGGAATTGTTAGTCAGGTAGAATGCGAAGATGGGCTCATCAATTAGATTTTGTGTGTACATATTGTAGAATGGTGGTATGACATTGTCAACCGAAATCTGTTGATAAGCCATACCAAGAATGCCATCGAATTCAGAATAGACAAATGTACTGCCAGGTTCTGATGTCGCTATTGCAAAAGTTTGTCCTGTTATAACCAAACCGCTAACATTCACTGTATCTACCGCTAAGTAACCCGTTAAATTACCGGTACCATATTGTATAGCGAAACTTTGATTATTCACTTGATAAGTGCTCGACGCACTTGAGTTGTAGGTATTGTGAGTTAAGCAAGCGACATCGTTGGCAGCACACGGTGCTCCAGGTACCCATAAGTTCGATGAGCCGCTATCGAAAAGCACATTAAAAGTTTGTGGTGGTGTACCAATGGTGATCGGTCCATAATATTGATCGTCCTGGTAGTTGGTCAATTGTTCGTTGGTTACTATGAAACTCGAATTGTATTTGCTGCGCAGCAAGGCCAGGTGTGTGCTATGATTTTTAATCGAACGCTTCTTACTGGGTTTAGTTAACGGTATGCGTACGAGCGCGGCATCGACGACCAGTGCTAGACACAAAACAACTATCACCAACTTCCACATTGCGACTGACTGATTGGACTGAGGAGCAAGTTATGTACGAAGTAATTATTTATGTACGCATGTACTATCGAAACTTTGGCACCTTATTAATAAATAACGGGGATTTATCGTTCTTCATATAAATATTGTGGTATTAGTCACGAAAGGCGCGTGTCTATTTTAAATGCCTCATTAAATGATAAAAAAAAATATGTATGTCACTATGTACATACAAATGTTTGTAAAATAATTATACTGTTTATCTATGAAATATTCTTCACAAAAGCTTGCAATAATGAAATTATTATCACAAGTGCCGAAAAATGCACTAAAATTGCGTGACTTACCTGTCGAATTTCCTTACTCAATTGTTAACCTAGAAAAAAATTTTTTTCTCTTCTTGAAAAGTATGCCATTTCTGTCAAACTTGGTGTGAAACATAAATCTTGCTATAAGTAAGTAGTGTAAATCGCGTAGTAACCATGCATGCTAGATAAAGTTATTGATATGTTACGTCATAAATGAAAGTCAAAATACCATAGTAATTGTAAACAAGGCCTTTTCACCCTTTTTTATGACGTTACGAATTGAATGTATTTTTTTAATAAATACATGCCAAGAAAGGTAACACGACTAAACTGTCGTCATCTATATTTTTGTCATTCTTGCATTATAACTATACTTATACCTTTTATAAATAAGCAAATCGCAAATAAATAGTTCAATTCTAAAGCTCGAAATTTTAATTTTTCTCTAAATGTCATAAAATTTTGACTACATAGTTTTGAAGTGTTATCTGTGTATTGATAAATACAGCCAAATTTATATTGACAATTACTCTTTACTTTGCAAAGCACAATGCATAAGCTTAACAATTATCACTAATTATCGGCATAAAAAAAATATGCAATCTATTTTTAAGCTTCTCACAAAATTCTTTATACATATATTTACTTATAAATATGAAGGTCGGTTCACAAATTTCTTATGAAATTCAATTGGTAAAAGCTTCAAAAATCACTGAAAAAAATAGTCAAGATAAGATAGGATAAAAAATAATACCACTAACACATATGTAAATGCTTAAAATTTTTCCGATATCTTATGACTGCTATGTTGGATCATTATGGATTATATTGAGTTCATTTAATATAATGAAACTAATTTCTGCTGCAGACAGAGCTTAAGGCAGAAATGGATTCCACAAGTAACGAACGTGACTAGTTTACATGCTCTGCGACATGAAGCTCTTTTTCCAACGACAAGTATATTCTTCGAGTATAGTATTTTTCTTTCTTACTCTTTCAATCCTCGAAGTGATTTAGATCGAGTCATTGCATTGATTTCGAAGTTTGTGATAATTGCCTAAACAACAACGGAAGTTAAATACTTTTTTATGAGATACTTCCTATTCCTTTACCTCCATGTTAGAATTTAATCATACTCGTTATAGCGTCAATTTTCTTTTATCACAAGACCCATTGATTTTGCTGTTTAGTTCAATGTTGTAAAAACAGCTACGATGAGTAAAACGTCGGTTGTCTTTTCTAATGAGAAGCATGGAGTTTTTGGCCAATTCTTCAAGCGATAGCTATTTCATATATGGAGTGTGTCACAGTAGTATAAAGACGACGAAATAGTAGAATAGGCTATGTACGAGTATGTATGGATGTAGACATTTAAAGCTCGTTGTAACTAACTACTCGCTGCAATTAACTAATCGTTTCTTATTATTTTCAGCTACACGCTCCATTTTTATTAACATTCATTCGCGGATATACATTCCAAATTCGACCCATGAGTAGACTGAAAATTTTAAAAGCCTTTGAACTTAATATAACATTGTCTAAATAGCTAAAACATAATAGATATCATCCGAATGGGTGCGGTTAAAGTGTTACATGCATTTCACGACTTCAAAAAACAAAAAAAAATGTTATTGTCTTATATAATTCTTATAAATTCTCAAGTTGGTAATGGTTATAGCTTTCGAGATAATATAGTCATATGGAGGTATATAGTCACTTAATATTTTAAACGCTACTCAACCAATCTTAATGAAATTCTACACAGGTCTTCGAGATATACTTTACAAGGTCTTGAATTCAGTTAAAATTATCTTCTTTCAATTACAATTATTTAAAACAAAAAAACGTCGCGAAATTTTCACCAAAATTTATTTTAAAAGTACAATATATTATTTTTTTTTTACTTTTGATGATCCTGTAAGAAATTCTGCTGTCAACGCGAAAGCACCTTTTTACCGAGGAACTGCCGGAAATGACGCCGTAATAACCAAGTTTTGACAATTTACTTTTGAAAATTTCACAAATTCTTTATCAAATATGTATCTTTGGAATATTGAAAAATTTGACGAAAATATTTAATTTTTTATATGGAAAAGATATTATTGAAAATCGGACGTTTTTTGCTCGACGAAACCAATGTAACCCCTTACGCTGCTTTAGCACCCCAATAATATTAATTCGAACACCTTAGGCTAATCCTGCTATAAACCAAAGAATTTAACCAGATACTTAAAAAGTTGTAAATCGTATATATTTTTGCAATCATCATTATTTTTATTATATTATATTTTATTAAGCAAATGTAAAAGAAGTATCGTTAAACTAGTTTCGTGAATATCGTTGATCCATAATTTTTAATCACACACGCAACTGCAAGTTGAGCTTGGCTTATCATTCAATACTTTATTTGTTGCGGGAGCAAAACCCACTTGATTATTACCCATATCAAAGACCGTGTAATATTTGCTTATGAAGACATCGCCAAGAATCCAAAAGTTTGTACCAGCATCTTCGAAAGCCGACATACACATGACACCACCATTCTCAGCATACATCTCTACAATGTAATCGGAGCCGCTAAGGCTAAAGATTGTGCCACCAATACTAAACGAAATAGTTGGCAAGTTACTAACTTCCGAACAATCCACATAATATTCTTCCTCATTGCTTAGCTGAGCGCCAATGGCATTCTGTACATATACGTAGATGTCGCTCGGCACAGCCAACAAACTGGTGCCCGTATCGGCAATAGCTGAGCACTCAAAGCATATGTACTCATAACTAATAATAACCGAATCCATATTGAATTGCCAATAACCTTCGCTTACCACCGGCACATAAGTGAGTTCGCCAACATAATGATTGGTATCAACACCGCCGAGTGTAAGTTCACCACCTTGATTGGTTGTGCCATTACTGGTCAAATAGAATGCAAAGACGGGCAAATCGATTAAACCTTGCGTGTACATGTTGTAGAATGGTGGCACCACATTATCGACCGCAATCTGTTGATAGCCCATACCCAGAATACCATCGAATGCGGAGTAAAGGAACGTACTGCCTGGCTCTGAGGTCGCTACAGCAAATGTTTGTTGTGTAATGTTTAGACCATTAAACGTGACAGTATCCACGGCTAAGTAACCCGTAAGGCTACCGGTACCGTACGCTATAGCGAAAGTCTGGCCATTCGCTTGGTATGTGCTCGATGCACTTGAGTTGTAGGTATTGTGTGTTAAGCAAGCCTCGTCGGAGATAGCACACGGTGCACCGGGTACCCATAAGTTCGATGAACCGGTATCGAAAAGAACTTGGAAATTTTGCGGTGGTGTACCAATGGTGATGGGTCCATAATATTGATCGTCCAGATAGTTGCTCAATTGCTCGGTGGTAGCGACGAAATTTGAATTGTATTTGCTACGCAGTACGGCCAGGTGTGTGCTAATATTTTTAATAGAGCGCCGTTTGTTGGGCTTATTCAACGGTACGCGTACGAGCGTGGCATCTGCCACCAATGCCATACACAAAACTAACACGGTCAACTTAAGCATTTTGACTGACCACATTGCGGTAATGATATCTGAAATATATATTTATAAGTTTTCAAATGAAAATTTTGCACTACTTAAATGAATGCCCTTTTTATAGTATTTCTCTATATATTCAATTCACTTATAATATATTCCCCCGACCGTCATGGTGTAGCAACGAGTGCGTGACTTCTATGCGATTTGTTGGTAGCTTAAATGCAGTTCAATAGTACAATTTTAGATAAAAGAAGTTTACTTTCTAATCGTTCATTTGTGGCATTAAAAAGCTTCTTGAAGATTTAAAAGATTACTGGGAGTTGGGTTAATACTTGTTAAATCCTTCACATGTCTAATATCAACCACAAATACGTGGAGAAGCTCGGCCCATCAACCAGCAGGTGTGGAATATCATATCTATGCGTACGAGTATACAATAAGTAAGGTAGTGCAAAGTTCGAATATAGCCGAATATTATATATGGTCGTAATTTATTCTATTATAACCGAGATCTTTAATTGCTGGTACTACAGCTACGAATTATACGTCTAATCTATATTTATGATTTAAAGTCACAGTGAAGGACAAAAATCCATATATTTTGCATATGATGGCTAGGAGAAGCAATAGATCGTATACTAACAACAAACAACCTTGTGAAAAGGAAAAAGTTTTAATTCAATTTCATTGAGATAGCTCAGAAAATTGTCAATTTTTTTAGTGTAAAGCAAATTGTGGGCACGTGACACGTCTTATTCGATATGTAGGAAAAAAGGAAAGGAGCTATTTATAGAGGAAAATTGCCTAATATGTTTTTAAGACATCAGCATTGTTGTATAATTTTACCAATGTTACGAATCAAATTTGAACCAAAAGCGGTCCAATAGTTGCTGAGATATGGAATTCTAACGAAATGTGAACGGTGTCAGCTCGATTGTTTTATTTTGGCAGTCGTCGTCTAGGTGGTAACACAGACTGCTAAAAGGAAATGTTCCTAAACTTTAGAGGCTTGTGAGATACAAAATAGATATATGAATTGGCGGAGCAACGCTCATATTTTAAAGCCTAAGTCCTATACCTACCTCATTTACTTTTAGGTGTAATAAAAAAGAACATTTCTGTTATACTCTATGCAACATGTTGCGTGTATATAATAATATCATACACTCATATGTGCAATTTCTTATCGGTGATATTGCAATCAACGAATTTTAAACTGCTTAATATATATATATAAACAAATAATGATTCATTATGAATAATTGCTTTGTTTATTTGATAAAATTTATAATTATTTACTTAAAAATTAAGTGTAATTATTAAAATTGCTAATGCTAGGAATATACTTGTATGCATTTATGTGATATGGCGTTGCCGAACCTTATATTCTTGAATAAATTCATCGCGAACTAGTTGCAGACTGCCGTAATTCCTAAAATAAGTTTCAGCCAGCCCACGTATGGAATAAAGTTTAAGAAGCTTAAAGTTATCTCTCTCCATGTCTATACACACTATATTAGGATAAACACTAGATATACGAGAGATGGAGTCCTTCATCCAGCATCACCCAGAACCAACACAGGGACAAACAGTTTTTAAGAATGAAGAATTATGTCTGAAATGTTTCATAAGTGCTTTTCTCTCCAAGATGTTGCTTATTTGTCAGAACCGCCGATATCGGACTCCTATAGTATATATAGGAGCTATATATATATAGCTGCTATACAAATTGATCGATCAAAGTAAAGTCCTTCTATGGAATTTTCATTTATTTTTTTGATAAGATGTTTTCACGAAGTTTAGCAAAGATTACTGTCCACGAGAATGCTAGAAGCTCCGAAGAATTTATGCAGATCGAACCACTATAGCTATAGCTGCCATTCAAACTGCACGATCAAAATCAAGAAAAGTATCTTGATATACCCTTTTATGCTATAAGAAATGTACCATTGAAGGGTGTTATAGCTTCGGTGCAGCCGAAATTAATGTTTATTAAAATTGAATTATAAATATACATATTTATTTATTACTAAGCAGTTGTTGCGCTTAATTCTTTTTACCCATTATTTTTCATTCTAAGCCCACGGTTTATCATTTCAAGGTATTTTTACCCACGCACTTCAACTTGATAAGATATTCTAGTGTGTAGTAATTATAATCAATGACATTAGTAATTTGATTGATCAATTATGCTTTAGTGCATCTTTATTTTATTTTATTTTGTGTGAATTCGGCAAAAATAACACTTTCATCGCCTAAACTTCGCTGTATGCCTTAAAAAAAAAAGAAAATTAAAAAATATATTTCATTACTTTTTTGTACCATCTGTCAATGTTATATTTGCAAATTTCAAATCATTTATTTATACATTTATATATGCTGTACAGTGGCGACCACAAATATTGATTCAACTGATAAAGCCAAAATAAGAATGCTTGAATACATATTTGCTATAGTACAATATTTGATAAAATGTTTAAATTGGGAAACACTTAAATAAATATGCACAATACGCCATGCCCTAGTGTGTTGTTGTTGTTGTATAAAAAAATTGAAAAAATATAAAATAAAATAAATTTAATTCAGCAGTTTAGGATTTTTGAAGCAGCGATTTTATTTTTATTTTTATTTTTATTTTGATTAAAATACACTTAAAGTACTTGTAACCTTATTTAGTTAAAAAAAAAAAAAATTCTTGTAAAATCCGCTAAAACTGTTGAGGTGTAGGGGTACTTTGAAACAATCGCATGTGTACATTAAAAATTTGAACTGTAACTTCACAGTAATATTATCTATTAAACTCATAAATATATAATATATTTTTTGTTGGTATTAGATGGCAGAAATACTTTACTAGCAACTCTTATGTAGATTAGGATCCCGTTATTTATTTTCTCTCAGATAACACGAGTTCCTGGAAATAGCGACGCCCGTCGAGTTTCTCTTAAGAGGTAACATGTTTTTTATTCAAACTTTTTATTATTCCGAAGATTTTGTAAAATTTGCAAAGGAAAATATTCAAAACTCGGTCATTACGACGTCATTTCCGGCAGTGCTTCGGAAAAAAGTGCTTCAGCGTTGACACCAGAATTCCTGAAAGGATCATCAAATGTAAAAAAAAAAATACGTGTTTGAACTGAGACCATTAACTAGGTTTTGGGCGAAAAAAAAACAAATAAAGTGAGAATTGTATTTTGCAGACGTTTAAAAACAAAACGCAAATTTTGGTGAAAATCTGTGTAAAAATTCATTTAGATCGGTTGAGTAGTTCATGAGAAATCTTGACAACCGACTTTGAAAACATAGTTTCGAGAAAATCACGTTTAAAGTGGCCATATAGCTGACCTCTAGCGCGCAACTTTTTAAAGCTGTATCTAAAAATTATTACTTGTATCAACTTGAGAACTAAGGACAATATTCTAGAGCGGTTATGTTAGAATTATATAAGATAAAATTTTTTTTTTTTTGAAGCCGTGAAACCCATGTAACCCCTTAAAAAAGCGATTCCGAAGATTGGCCCAGTAGCCGCCATTTTGTAACGAAACAACACAAAATATCAATACAAAATGTTTTCATACACTTGTTTAATAAAGTCTGAAAGAAAGAAAATCGAAAGAAACCTTATTTTTACTTATGAAATGTCATGTTTTTAGGGGCTCTAGGTTACCTTTACCTCTCAAATGTAAAGAGCCCATATTATATTTGGCGTTACTACTAAATGTAGGCAATATTTTCAATTCTCTTCATTTAAACAACGGTATGGCAACACCAATTCAAAAATATTGCCGCCATTTTCATATTTTATGTTGAACTTTGCTCCTAAATATATGCAATATGCCTTTGTCCCCATAATTATATATACAATTGAACAACTAAAAATAAAATGTTGCATACTTTTAAAGCGAAACGAAATAGTTTCGACTTCATTTGTGCTGTACACATACTTAATTTCATTCGTATATTTATATTTGAATATTTATAAGAAAATATAGCGTTCATATTACACAGCTTTCTGGAAAGCTAATAGAATCATCAATTGAATACGGTATTTTATTTAAATAATTTAAGCGGCTAACGCAAATCCCACACGATTATTGCTCAAATCAAATTCAGTGTAGAAATTGCCGATAAAGGTATCACCCAAAACCCACACATAATCCGCCATATAGAAGAAGCTCGACAAGCATAAACCATTCGAGTGATGTATATAGGTGCTTGGTTTGAGACTGAAGTTTTTGCCACCAATTCTAATATCAACATTTGGTAGTGACGCTACTGTAGAGCAGTTAACATAAAAGTTATCCGCATTGATTCGTTTAGCGCCAATTTTCTCATTCAATGACACGAAAGCTTCATAATCGCCAACAGCGATGAGACTGGTGCCAGTGTCGGCAATTGCTTGAAAGTTTTGCTTCACACTCGTACCATTAACGGAGATAGAGTCGACTGTGAATTGCCAATAGCCTTGGTGAGTAACTGGTACATATGAAATATTACCACGGTAATATTTGGGATCTGAACCGCCCAATATAAGTTCACCACCTTGTTGCGCACTGCCATTGCGCGCCAAATAGAAAGAGAATATATTCTTGCTAATCAAGTGCTGCGACCACATGTTATAAAATGGTGGTGCTACTTGATCCGTTGCGAATGAGCGATAACCCATGCCGAGTATGCCATCGAAATGTTTATGTTTAAATGCATTGCCCGGTTCTTGAATCGCCTCAACAAAAGTTTGATTTCTAATAGTTAAACCACCGATGCGTACGGTATCGGTGGAGAAGTAACCAGACATATCACCACTACCATAAAACATGCCAGCTCGTTCGCCGTTCGATATATAAGTACTCGATTTGCTGCTGTTATAACGATGATGATCGTGACAAGCATAATCGTTAATCCGACATTTACTTGAGGGTATCCAAAAATCCGAAGAACCCGTATCGAAGAGCACCAAAAAATATTGTGGCGGTGTACCGATACTAATATTGCCATAATAACCCATATTTTCAGAATTGATGAGTATTTCTTTGCCGATGCTTTGCACTCTCGTCACATTATATTTATTACGAAGTCCAGCAATTTCGGCGCGTACATGTGCCAACGTTCTGTGACTCTTCTCATGCCCATGTAGCGGTATGCGTACGAGATTAGTGCATTGCACTGCAGAGATGACTGCGATAATTATAATGTATTTAAACATTTTGTTGCTGTCGGCGAAAGAAGAAAATTCCAAGTAACAAGTGTTTGCGTAATATAGTTCGGCCAAAATGAAAATGTGCAAGTATTATCGTCTACCTTTATTGGTGAAGGCACAATGTGCCATATACAATTGATTACTAGCCGAATGTGCGAAAAAGTATTTATACACGAAACGAGGCCACTCGTAGTGGTCGCTGAGGTGAGTAATTTCATATGTACATGTATACGATTGTCGGGGCTTAAGTTGTCTTTAACATACAAGGATTTCCTTAGCGCTTGCAATCGGTGCCTGCCATGTGTGGCATATGGTATCGCATTGATAAAAAAATCAATTAATATTTTCAACGAACCGATAGATTTATAGTGTTAGCAAATATTTTATATATAAATACATACATAAATGCAATTGAACATGTGCTTTGTACAATATATAAAATAATATTGACGAACATACTCGTACAAAGATTTTGTTAATGATATTAATAACATTGGTGTAATAAGTCTATGGAAATGTTTGCGGCATTTAAACTGAGTTTCGTTCACTTCGGCAACACTCTAAAAAAATGCAGCACAGCCGCTGGTACCTTAAGCGTTTTACCAATTCCAAAGCACCATCTCACAGAGAAAACTTTCTTGGCTGTGCTGCTATCGTGAAAAAGCAAAGTATTACCAAACCAACTTCGTTCGTAAAGCTATTGTAGGAGTACAACTTACATATGAAACGAGATTGCGTGAATATTCTGGTCAAGAAACTTAAAATTATCGAAAATTTGTTTTTTCATAATTCGAAAGGTTAAATATTCAAGAGTATCTACTTTGAGAGTTCCAATAAGTTCAGCGTGTTGACAACTCGGCACTGGCAATTTCACTGGAAACTTGTTATTTAGCATACATTTTCTTTATATGAACCGCAAAAAAACTCATCCATATCGGAAGGTGTTGGTACTGGTCAGTCACCTGGTCACTTGCAACAACGTCAAGCGAAAACAGTTTTGGTCGAATCGGTTTGATCCGGCGCAAACGGTGGTCAAACCAAGTCAGGTAGGTGTTGCTATGTGTTTCATAAGATTGGCAGACAGTCATTTTTTTAGAGCTGCTCCCCTGCGGCCAAATTCTTAATTCGAACCTGTGCTGTCATTAATTAGATCGTGTGGAGAAAGCAATCGCACTGAAGCGATCAACTTTAACCAATAGAAGAGGAATTGTGCTCTATGAGGTTAACGTCAAGCCACACACATTGTTAGTGACTTACCAGAAACTCGGGGCCTAGCATCAAGTGATTACTGCCTGTTCCTGTCTAAGGCGAATGTTTTTGCTGGTGAAAAATTCATCTCAAGAGAAGCTTTTGAAATTTGACTGTTCACAATTTTTTGCCAATACTAACGAGTGTATCATTGTGAGATTAGCTTCAAAATGGCAACAAGTATCAAAGCGTTGCTTATCTGACCGAAATCGGATCATTCTAAATATGTTAAATAAAACCTTCAGTTTAAAGCAAAAATAATGGATTTCTTCTTACTAGACCTTAAATATATATTAAAATCTTTATGCATATACTCTCTCTCGTTTCAAATGCTTTTAAATACCTTACACATAAATACAATATATGGAATAAGATATGCAAATATGTACATACATATATACGAACCATAACCGCCCAACCTCAAAAAGCTTTCCTCAGTTGGAAAATTCTAACGAACAATTTGGGTTGCAATTTTAGGAATTTATTAATATATTGTACAATTTTGGGTATAATATGTATAATATTTTGGTTATAATATGTTTAATATTTTGGGTATAATATGTTGGATATTTTGGGTAATATATAATATAAATCGTTAAATCGGCAAAGTATATCTTTCTTGTGAATATATAAATTTAGATTTACTCTCTTTCTGATAGTTCTGCAATTGAAATCATATTGGTTTTGAAATTAAATGTGATCCATTTCTTTGAATAGAAGGGTGCTCCCAAACAAAACAAACCCTCAACATATCTGACCTTAAGCTTATAAACTGTGCCTACTGGTTCAAAGTAAGCTTGTGGTGACACCGTTATAGGTTTATCTTCAATTATAAATATAAGACTTGAAATATTTTTTATGCTCTTCACATAGTAATTGTTATCTTTTCCTATCTGGGCGCCACTTTCACTAATTAATTTGTTAAACTGTGCAACATTATCAAATATAATATCTGGGCAGTTAAAGTCAAGAAAAGCACCGTGAGCAATACCATCGTAAGTCGTGAGAATTTGCCATTGAGTAATATAGTTTGAGGGTGCAGTAATTATATAGTCTGCTGCTAATGCCACATCGCCAAAATATATCTCTCCAACCTGCTTTGGATCGGAATAGGATTGTAAAATGACGGTGAACTCGTCAATCTTTAGTTTCTCAAACATGTTTTGTAGCACCGTCGAATATCCCGATTTGCTCTCACCTTGTGAGAGACCAAACCAAGCATCAACATATGATGGCAGTGATCCTGCCGCTTCAATGAAAGTTTGTTCCTTTAGAACTGCACCACCAATGATTAGATTATCGGCGAACATTCGATTCTTTCCTTCATATAGGTAACTATAGCCCAAATTTATGAAACTGCTCGATTTTTCGAATATGAAAGCAGTAAATTTAAGAAGGACACAGAGTAAACCCGCACATGAGCTTGATCGTACTCTCATATCTGGGCTGGTTATATCGAAACACATTTTCAATGGCTGTGGTGGTGTACCTATGCTAAAATGGGATAACAATCTCGGTTTATAAAATTCGGCTTTTACGTTTTCCAAGTCACTCGGTCGCGGCAAATTAAGCGTGTCACATAATTTAGCTGTGTACGCTTGGGTATCCTCCCAATTCCATTGGCTGTCTTCTTGCTCGTAGATAGGTATTTTATTATTTCCAGCATGCAGGACTGCAGCCAAGTTTAAGATGATAATTAATTTTTGGTACGTGAACATGTTGCTGAAATTTCAAATTTTATTACTAATGTACAATTTTGCGTTAATACAATTTAATTAAAATTTTACTACGAAATCTACGAACTATACGAAATCTTACCAATTGGCTTATTGAATTACTTGAGTGAAATTCAAACACTTAATGAGCAGTTGATGCTACACTGTTCTATTTATACCAAAAATAAGCCGTTAAAATATCGCAAATTATTTGTCTTTATTTATTCAGGTGTGGAGTTTGGTTACATACTGTATATAATTAATCAAATAAGCATACCATCCCATATGCTATATTTGTTAACAATTTCATTTTAAATAATTTAAAACAATTGGTTTGCTTTTAGAAAGGTTATCACGAACGTTTGAACGTTTCAAGGACGTTTTGTATATACTACATACGCTATGGAGAAAGCATAAGCATGTCGAAGCATGTCTTTCATAGTCAGTTTCATATTTTTGGTTAACTATACAAGGCATCACTTGTGGCAGAAGTTTCATATATTCTATATGAGCCGTTCAACTTAGAAAATGGTGTAGTAATCGATAGTAGCTTCCAATAAATTGAGTAGCTGTTGAGTAGCAGTTGAGTTCTCTACCGATTCGGTTAAGTCCTGGTATATCGTTTGTTAAATTGAGTAGCAGTTACGTCCAGCGTCCCTTTTTAGGCCTCTAATTGATTTAAAATACAGTAATAAATGTGAACCGTCTGTTATGCCATGATGACAACGACATAATATAAAATTTTGTTAACTAAACACAATACAGACTGAATTACTTTTCATATACAATACTTGTGACATCAACGTATCATATGATGGTGATAACTCACCACTAACATAAGAATTTCAGACTACACCCTGTACCATTTGCCTTATCTAAGACATACAACCAGTAAAATAGATTAATAAATGCTAACAGTGTGTTATGCCATGATGACAATGACATAATATAAAATTTGGTTAATTAAACACAACACAAATAGAAAAACTTTTCATATACAAGTGACAACAACACATCATATGAAGTGTGAACGCTACTACAATAAAAATTTCACACTACACTCTGTACCATTTGCCTTATCTAAGACACACAACTAGTAAATACACACACCAATTAATAATCGACGGCTGCACTGACAACAACAAGCGTATTCACCAACTTGAAGATTCGATATCTCACGAAATTATGCACATAATTTATACCAAATATTAATGGATTGATAACGGAAGAACTGGTATTTCTCTCAAAAATTGTATTACATTAAATAAATTTGTGTAGATTCAGGTGCCAAATAACGGTTAGAAGAAAGGTATTATTTAAGAAATCATTCGAAAGGTAAACTCTTCCAATTTGGAATTGTGTGTTTTTATTTTAATGAATAATATGAAAATAAATAAAATAAAAAATTGAAATAGTCAATATGTTTGGTCTATATATACATATATATATATATAATATATATATCTGGATGTACTCGCATATATACATATATAAATGCGCGTTATATTATACATTCATATATGTAATGCATATAAATTAATGTTTTGCCTCAAATGATTTTCTTTAAATGAGCTGCGATTCATTTTCTACCAACACACACTCACAGTTTTAGCTTAATTTGTGTATTTCCAACTATACATTTATGGTACATATGTAACTGCTGATACATACGCTTTTATGCACATACACCAATAGCTTTTGCGCGCACTGTAGTATAAAAGGGGTAAAACGTCGACGCAGTATACACATGCATACATTTACATAAAGCTATTGCACGATTTGCACTCGCACTCAAGTTGTGCTTAACGGCGCATCTGCTTAAAATTTACTCACTCAAAACCCGAAGTGTGTGTGCAGTTTTTGCTTTGTGGAGCAGCTGCGAAATGTATGCATGCAAAGCGCTCACTTACACCAATGCGCTTTAGAGAATATGAGTATGTGTGCGCATTGCTGAGCGCGTGTTGCTTGTGTGCGCTTGCAAATCCACCAATGATCCGCGTTGCAGTTCATTGCGCCTGCTTGAGAGTGACGTCGTTGACCGTCGCAGCAGCGCGTCATCGTTATTGTCACTGCAGGCATTGCCGTATTGCCACTGTTCTTTGACTATGTTGCGTACGGCGGAGTAGCATTTAAAGCTAACCAAAGCGAACGCAATGCGCCAACCAAACGCGTCTGATGCAAACGCATGTTAAGTTGTACGGCGGCGCGTTCATGATATTTAGTTAATAGATGCAAACAATATCAACGACAAAAAAAAAATTATTTAAATGTTTGCAAATTTAAATGTTAACGTGCAATTAGTTTTGCGTATTTTGGTAGAATATTGTGCGTCGCGTATGTCGTTGATTAGGTTCTACAAACAACACTACCGTAAACAAATAACTATATAACGAAAGAGTGTCAATTTAGTGATGCAAAAATTTATACGTTCAGACAACGCGCGCTCACTACAAATTGCACAGTGCTCGGCGGCACCGCCAGCGCTTCACTTTACACTTTAAACATAATACGTGATGTAAGTGAGTTAGTATGGCGCTTGCATTCGAGCGCTTTTCTCATTGCGAACAAAGACAGTCGGCAGCGCTGCATTTTTTCAATGCGTTGCGCTTGTCTTGGAGAATTTCTTGAAGTCTAGCAGCCGCTCAGCGTACACATTTCTGCACTCGCATACGTGGGAGCGCCTGTGAACAACGCCAGCAGCAGCGCGCGCCGTCGTAGGTGCCGCACACCCCACAATCGAAGCAATAAGCCATTGCATATACATATTTGTGTGACCATCACATCTACAGTGTCGCGCTCAGATGCCGCTCTGCTGTACTTTTGCTGGTGAATTTGAAGTTCTTGGCCGTCTTGTCGTCCGGTAGCAATGCACTCAACGCGCCGCTTTTCATCGACAACGCTGACTGCAACAATACAGAGCAAAAAATAAAAAATAAAAATAAAAAAATTTAAAAAATAACTGTTTAGAGAAATAAGCGCTTAAAAACAAATACTGTATAAACCAAAACGTGTAAAATCTTATAGCGCGGAATACTGCAGACGTAAACATTGCCATAATGAAGTGCGTAGAGTGCATAAACGCCGCTGGCTGGCAGCTTTGCATGTGATAACAAAAACATATACATATATATATGTATATATATATATAAATATATATACACAGTATATAAAAAAGTTATAGTATATATAAAAGTTCAGCGAAAATTGCAATTAATTTTGAAATGAAAATCTTCGCATAAATAAACCGATTTTCGTTTACGAAAAGCTGAAAGCAAAGTTTAATAAGACAAGTGCAAAAGTGCAAGCGTAGAATATGTGTGCGGTGAAAATACATATATGTTACATACATTTATGTATGTAAAATAAATTACTCCGGGTCGCTGATCGATGCTTCGACGCTTTTAGACCCTACCTCAATGCAACGCGTTGCATACAAATAATGTATATACCGAATATATGTGCAGACAAAGGTCTATGTAGTGGCTCATAGAAAAATCTAAGTGTTTAAGAATATGCACACATAAACTAGGAAACAAATTTTGAATAATATGAAAATAAATATATAAAAATGTTTATTATAACAGTGCGAAAATGTGAACTGTCAAAAGTGTGTACATACTAACATACATATTGAAACGCGTGGCTGCTGCTCGGACTTTGGACGGATATTTGTGGAAAATTGCATGATATGCTAATTATTCGAAACAAACACCAAAGAAAAAACCGACATAGTATGCGCCTTCGTGCAATTTAGTTAGTTGAATTTTTCGTATTCAAGAAATGGCGACGGCAATCGGTCAACATAAGCACGAGCATTCGAATATGAAAGCTAACAAAAAAAATTGTCAGCGCCGTCGGCATAAACAAATGATGAAAGAGCAAAGCTGGTAATAAAATCAGGTATTTATATAATATAAAGCATATTTTTTTCTCGGTATCAGGCCAATCTAGAGAGCTCGCAAAATGTTTCAATTTTGATACTTTATTCTGGAAGTATTTTTTCACAATTTTTCAAAATCTATTTGAGCTTTTATATTGTAAATGAGATAAAGATTTCATCAAACTTCAAAATTTGTTTGAAAAATGTTTAACTCGATCGCTTCAACCCGCTGTAGGGATTGGATTGGAAACAATTTTTTCACTATACTGCCAATTCAATCATGTTTTTAGGGCCCTCAAGTGTACTTGACGCCAAAAAGATTTACTTTCTGAAGGCTGGCTCTAGGTTGGCTTAAACTTTCAAAAATAATATTCCTGTTGGTATAGGGGTTTTTATGTGTAACCTGCCAATAATAATTGTGTAAAAACTATCTTCGGTTCGGTTGCACTTGGCGAAATCTTTTACTAAAATATTTGCAATGACGTTTTACAGTGTACCACACAAAAGTAGAAGTTTGATATATACTCTCTGACGTGCTCGAAATTTTAACAAGATCAAGTGAGGATGCATTTCGGTCTCAGCCGCATATAGCGTACGCTCGTTTTATAACGAAACAGTATTCGTGCTCAGAGAACTGTGACTCATTTGTGAATAACTATATAGCTCCACAAGAGAGATAAGGAAAGATATTGATGATCCATTTTTGGTACAAAATAACGTCTCATTACTAATCGATTTATATAGTCTATCTTAAGTATATCTATGAGGTCTAGAGGTAGACGTGTTAATCGATTTCAACTAGATTTAGTACCCTTTGCTAAGCAAAATCCAACAAGCTAAGCAAAATATGTGCATAAAATTTCAGTACAATCGATTTTTACAGCCGACATATACGGTTTAAAGTCGAACAAAGTTATGCTAAGCATTGTTTTCGGTAAATAAGATCAATGCGTATCTTATTGACATCATATACCTAAACTTAAACCATATCTACCCTATTATTTAATTCGCCTCCAAACTTTAGAAGAAAAATTTAATAGTTTTTTAAATTATGTAGAATAGAAAAATACTTTATGTGATGTAATGAATGCAGATCACTTCTACTGCTACGTGAATATTCCTTGTATTCGAAACAGTGTCTATAAAGCATTAAACTAGCTCCACTCTAACTAGGATAACATTAGAAAATCTCTCATAAGAGCATATTCAATGCCTCCAATGAGAAATCAACGCAAATAGAGATGAGAGAAATGCAATTTTGGGCTCATCCTCAAATATTAGATCTTACCCCATTTTAATTTCACCAATTGCGATTCAGCAGTGATTTGCAGACGAAAATCAGAATCATGAGCTTTTTTTTGCGTTAGCTCTTGTGGCATATATATTATATATCGAGCGTCTTATTGTATACAGCCTGATTTAAATGGTTCCAAAAGTTTATTGTACCATGCTTAGCTGCTGGGCAGTCGAAACAGTTTTATTGATATAAGGTTGTCATATATCCCCCTTCCGCTTTTTTGTCTTTTGAATTTCGCGGCTATGTACAAAGCGCTACAGAGCTCGTATCTGGCAACACTATACATAATTTGAAAGGTCTTGACATAACCTACAAAACAACGCTATCCATGATTAGTTTGGATATTGCGTTCAACAGTTATAGACGTGTAAACATGGAGTTCACTAACGCCGAAATTCGCGCTATTTTAAAGTTTTCCTTCGTTAAAGGCAAATCCGCTAGAGAAACGTTCCGTGAGATTAATGGTGTTTTTTGGGGGATGGTACTCTATCACTTCGAACCGCGGAGGAATGGTTTCGACGATTCAGAGCCGGTGAAAACGACACCATGGATAAGCCAGCCGGTGGAAGACCTGTGACGACAAATACCGATCAAATCATGGAATACATCGAGTTAGACCGGCATATGGCATCTCGTGACATCGCCCAGGAGATGGGAGTTAGTCACCAAACCATTTTGAACCATCTGCAGAAGGCTGGATACAAAAAAAAGTTTGATGTTTGGGTGCCGCATAATTTGACGCAAAAAAACCTTCTGGACCGAATCAACGCCTGCGATATGCTGCTGAAACGGAACGAACTCGTCCCATTCTTGAAGCGGATGGTGACTGGCGACGAAAAATGGATCACATACGACAATATCAAGCGAAAACGGTCGTGATCGAAGGCCGGTGATGCTCGGATGGGAGGTTTTATCGCATCCACCATATAGCCCGGACGTAGCGCCAAGTGATTACCACCTGTTCCTGTCCATGGCGAATGCCCTTGGTGGTGTGAAGTTGAACTCAAAAGAGGCTTGTGAAAAGTGGCTGTCCGAATTCTTCGCAAATAAGGAGGGGGGCTTCTACGAGGAAGGTATTATGAAGTTGCCGTCTAGATGGAAACAGACCATCGAACAAAACGGCGCATATTTTAACTAAATCCGAACACTGTAACACTTTTTATAAAGCATTGAATGAAGAGCAAAAACGCGGAAGGGAGATATATGACAACCTTATATTTTCGACTATTGGTTTTTCAGAGTGTGGTGTAAATTTGAGATCCAAATAATCGGAACGGATTTGACAAAATCGAAATTGCTCACGATTGAATGTTACAGTACGATTGGTTGTTACAGTACATTGCAATCGTCTTGCGCCTTGCGTTTTCGCCTTTATCGAAGAAAAATTGCAAAATATGGCGTATTTTCTCTTTGCTGCTGTACATTTTCGACACATACTTGCATGAAATCTTATCTTTCTTAAACCGTAAAGCGTAACCCGATCATACCTAAATGACGAACGATAAATATGACTAAAGCCATCTTTTGTGAAAATACTGTATTTCTCTATACTAAACCTTATATATATTGAGAGAACTGGGGTGAACTAGCCAAAGCTTTTTTTTCAGGAGAAATTCTTGTTAGGTCATTTGTGAACAAACCACCGGACTTTTGATAGATCAACAAAATCGTTGACAAATCAATCCCGTATACTTATTGCATCATTACATGGCTGTACAGTATAAACTCGATGACAACAAAAATCGAGGAAACAACTCTTAAAAGGAGCTGAGCTTTTATCCATGAAATAGCTATCGGAACCAAATAACAATGTTATCGCACCACATTCATAATAACCCATAATATTATATAATAATTACAAGTACGCTTAGTTTGCACATATACCCATTGGAATAGTCATTATTTCGTATTAATTTTTTATGAACAAATTTTATTACGGTACACACATAGTGGATACACCAGCGATTAACAAGAGTCATAATGCGAGTGTAATTCATGCAATTGAAAATGCAACGCTGCTTTTGTCGTCAATGGTGATTTCATTGTCGGCGTATGTTGAATATATTTAGCGTACGCGCTTTTGCAATTGCAACGACACAAAGTGCAGAACCTATCGATATATGAGTATGTGTATGTATGTATGCATGTGTATAGTTGTATGTAGATGTGCCTTTGAGATATTCTACGGCGCAATGCAGACGACAAAAAGTTAAAAAACGAATAAAACTAAAAGAAAACCAACAACTAAAACAACATACATTGATAGCAGCAACAACAGCAACAACAGAGATACACGAAGCACAAAGCAAAAAAATACACACACATGAATGCATGAGGGAAGTGCAACAACAAAGATTGCCTACAATAAATGCAATAATAAACAACAACTAGTAACTATATAAAAGTGCAAAGCAACAATGCCAACAACAAGACAAGAAACAAACTACAACTGACAGTCGACAGTGAGAACAAGAAATAATTAAACAATATGACAACAATAACAACAGCAGCAGAACGCTAACTGCGCATTGGCGGTGCGGAACTGAGTGATGTAACAACAACGCAAATGTAAAGAAAAAAGTCGCTTACTGAGTCCAAGCGGGAGCGCTATCAGCACTGAACTTCGAGCAACAACGAGCGACGAATGCGCGCGACATACGAGCGAGCAACATTGCTATTTCTGCCACGATGACGACCGGGCGCCGAAGTGCAAGCGCACATAAATGGCAAACTGTATGTGTATGTGTGAGTGCGCGCGCGCGTGTTTGTGTGTGTGTGTGTAGAATGCGATTCAGCAGTCAAGGGTACACAACGGGTTGAGCACAATTGGCACATCGCAACACACATTGCGATGGAGGCGGCACACGCGATTGGCTAAGACGGCCGTGCGGCAACGGAGGGGCGGTAGAACAATAGTACAGCGAAACGGCGAAGAATTGCAATTTGCGCACACAACTCGTACGGAGAGCCAAAACTAAAATACAAAAAAAAAAACAAAAAACAAAGCAAGTTGCGAGTTGCGAGTGTCGAACAATTGCATACTAGAGCGCACTACGACGCGTAGGGTGGCACATAGTCAGGTGATGTTGCTGGATGCTAGACGAGGCGCGGCTGTGCGAGTGAGTCGCAAGGTTGCCGATGCCGCTGTCGGCGAGGAGGTAGGCGGTAGGCGGTTGCTGCGACGCGTCACTTATGTGTGCGCTCGCTCCGGTGCCTCTATAGCAATGCGCACGGAACGCGCGCGTAGAGCGGAGCAATGCACCCACAAAGCGCCAAAATATTGCACATATGAGCGCGCGTAGCTATGCAGTTTGTATTTGTGTGCGCGTCGCAGCGAGCGCTTGTGTAGCGGCCGGTGCAAGTCTTGGTGATGTGTGTGCGTGCACCAATGCAATTGCTTTGATTTAAATTCTACCATATTTGTATTTGACGCTCTGCATGTTGTTGTTGTTTTGTTTTTCTTTTCTCTACGCTCTTGATAATCGATGCACGAGTGCACTAAAAATGTTAATAGTTTGCTTGTATCTGCACTATTGTGTATACTATATATGTATATATATTATACACTCAATATATGTATATATGTATATATACTTATCTTAATATGCTTGCTAATTATTCGCGTAATTTGCATACCAGTCAACATTTCGTTAAACTTACTCTTAGATACATGCACACATACATAATTCGATCACTGCGCCTGCTTAATACTGCTATTAACCA